AGCAAAAACATTACCAGACTTTATCAGTCGCTGCATCTGTGAACGACATTTGCCCTCCAAACTGAAATCATCTATACAGAACCTTTCAACTCCCTCCTTATTCTAACTCCCTATAAATATGTTTTGTGCAAAGAATTTTCAACAAGATGGAAGTAGGAATATACTTATATTGATTCAGGCCCACAGCAAGAGAGAAAATTAGGATGAGATTAGAAATTACATGTTGATATTCATTTACTCAAGAAAATAATGGTTTAATAGAGGAGAGCAATTACAATTCGTACACATGAAACATTTTAGAGGAAGCTTAATATCCTTTCACTGAAACAGTCTGGATTCAGATGTGGAATAGTCATATAGAAGTATCTATCATAAAGCAAAACTGTTTAAAAAATATAATAATAATAGCAACAATAATTACTCAGATTAATGTAAAAGCGTAATAAATTAAACATGTTTTGAAATTACTTTTTTTAATTGACAAAGATATATTTATAAATATATATCAATATATGAAGGAGCATTCTTATCCTGCCCTATGTCAGCAATTTCCAAAAGCACTTTATATTCTCATTTTATCTTTGAAAGATGCAGTTCCTGAAATAAGCACAAGAGATTGCAGTTACTTATTTCATCACCTGTAGATTTCAGACTCAGTAGGCCAAGTTGCAAAAGAATTAAGCAAGGAGTTTTAAAAGCAATTTCAGAACCTAAAATACTGAAGAATAATTACCAAAATAATTAGAAAAGTGAAGAAAATTGCTTTTCAAAATTTGTATGAAAAAGAATGTAAATATTATTTTATATATTTTATAAGTACTCCAGACATGAAAGTACAGACCACAACATATATCATATACTCAAGATGCACAGCACTTATTTTCTGATTGATCACAATTACAATTATCTACTGTTTCAACTTTAGACAACTTTTGAAGCCCATTAGCCAATAAAAGATCTTCATACAGAGAGACAGCAGATCAAAGTTAACTATGATGAGCCATACAGTTTTGGAAGGATTTCAAGGTGTTATCTAGATAAGCCGGAAACGTCAGTACAACTGTTTGAGCCTACACTAAATCCTTTCTTCTGACTGCATGATTTGTAACACAGGTAGATCTTATTCCCTGGACAATTTCTGAAGCTCTCCATTTCCTGTTATTACACATTTCTTATTTTGTCACACTATCAAAGGTCCTACATATTTATTTCCATAAATATAAGATAATCTTTTGTGAAACAAACTATTTTTTATAAATTTGAGAGCATTCTGTAAATTGACCTGAATGAAAGACAGTGGATAGATCAGCAATTGTGGGTAATATTTAATTGTAATAAAATGGACATAATATCAACTGGGAATGATCCTTACTTCTTCAATTTATAGTTCATTACAAAAATCTTTTTTCTCTTTTATTTTCCTTCTGCATATCATTCCTACATCTCATCTTAGTCCCTAAATACTTCCATAGAGCAAGTTTATTCTAAGTGATGATGCAATGTTTTCTGCATTTGTTTTCAGAGTTTGAATCAGTTACATAAAATATTTTCAAGGGTTCCTTAACTTGGCCTCCTACAAAAATATAAAGTTCTGGAATATCATGAGGAATCTCAGCATATAGTTTAATACCAGTATTATTTGCACACACAAACGATGCATGCAGAACCAGTCACTTCAGAAATCAAGATTTCCACCTTTAAATCTCTATTTCTGTATTATGCAGCACATTAAAAAAAAAAAAAAAAAAAAAGGAAAATTTTCAAGTAAAAATCATGCATTAAATCGTAGCATTGTGTATCCTAGATATACCTAGTAATTGCAGATCTCTATACTTAAAGAGCATTAAATAGCACATAATTATTTGTGTGATCACTTATACTTTTTTGTAGGCAGGAAGGAAACTTAGTTATTACACTCAGATTATTAAATCAATCAGAAAGTTTAAAAAGAAGAAGTTATTATAAAGAAAAAAAATAACAGAAAGAGAAGGGGTAAGAAGCACTTAAAAATCTGGTTATTTTATTTTTTTCTGCTTAGAGCTGGATACTAACAGGATACACACTTCAAAAACTTCTCAAATGAAGAACCATATTTTAGAATTCCTGACATATCAAGAGAGACTGAGAGAGCTGGGACTGTTCAGCCTGGAAAAGACAGGGGGGCATCTTACTAATGCATATGAAAACCTGGTAAGGACAGAGGTGAAACCAGACTTCTCAAATGTGGCCCAACAAACACAAATTGAAATAGAGGAAATTCCATCAAAAAGTAAAAAAAAATTCCAATATTATTTTGAGAGTAATGAAACATTGGAACAAGTTGCAAAGAGGTATCGTGGTGCCTCTACCCTCAAAGATCCTCACAGAATCTCAAGTGTACCCAGCCCTGAACAATCTGCTCTGAGTGATCTTACTTTGACCAGCAGAGGCTGGACTAGGTGACCTCCAGTGGTGCCTGACAGCCTTAACTAGCCAGGGGTTTTCTATATATACAGTCAAAATATGGAGTAAAATTTTACAATTGGCAAGATTTTACTTGTATCAACTAATGTGGCAGCACATAACAATGGCACCTACATAATCTATCACAGTTATCACAGTCTTTTCTTTGTAGAGCTCTTACAGTAGTTTTGGTACTTATTTACTGCATAGACCCACAAATTTTTATTGTTTTGAACTCTCAAGATCAGATTTTAAGTCTATTTTTATACTTGCCTATCTGTAAAATGCTGGAATGACTGTCATGTAGCATTGCTGTCATGATGCTTTTATCTTTGCTGAACCTTTGCATACCTCATGGAACACTAGACCCCAGAGTTCGCCTCTATCAGTTGTTGTTTGCGTTTTTTGTGCTGTCTGAGACTCAACACCACCACAATGGGAAAAAAGTCATACCACTCTTTCTGTTGTGGTAAGCCATGTAATGTGAAACCAGTTCAAATGTAATAGCAATTGCATTTAAACTTTTCTTCTTTTGCAAAAGACTCACAAAGCATTACCACCCAAAAAGGATTTGATGAATGACAATATTACATATGCCTATTGTCTTTAATTTTGAAATATTTTCGTCTTTTTTTTTTTAATCATCATTTTAGAAAGATCTGCATCTGGTTTTGTGGGCTGATACTCTAAGAAATTGGATCTCTGGTTTTAGTACCATATATTTTTATTGTTAACTTGTTATGACCAGCTTTAAAGGACTAGAGAGGAATTGGATACTTTCAGGCATTAGTTGTGGTTTTAAACTGCTTTCTTAAAATAAAAAATCAAGAGGCGATCTGCTCTTAGATATTAACTGTAACACAAAACCCCAAACGATACTGTTGACAAGGTTTCTTTTCCTGTCTCCCTCCTTTTGGCCTGCTTATTTGTCTCTGACTTCTTTCATCTCCTTTCTACTTTTCACATGCATTTTTTTCTTTGATATTTTCCTGTCTTACTTCCCCCAAATAATTTCCCTTTGCTTCTTCAATTTTTGATCTCTCCCTCCTGAACATGAATGTTTCCGCCCAATAAAAACTTTCATTCATTCCCCACATAGATCCCATCTACTATTCTCATGTTGCATTCACTCTGCACGATCTCTATTTTCTAGACAATATTTTATCCTGAGAATTCTATTGCATAAAGTATTTTAATCTAAATTCTTTTTTTTTTGCTGGTCACACCTTCCCAGACTACCATTTTGAGTTCTACTTGCCTGACATTTCCCATACTCCCTTACACTCTGTCTCATCTCTTCTTCCCTCTCTTTATTTTATACCTCTCTCCTACCAATCTTTGTTGCCTGACCTCCCCTCATTTTGTCACTACTCTTAATCTTTAAAAAACTTTAAATTTCAAATAAAATATTTCTAGCTATGAGTCTATTTCACCATGTAAAGCAGCTCCTGATCCTAACATAGGCCCCCTTTTGTCCACCGAGCTAAGCTTTCTTCACTTTCCTCCTTCCTCCAGACAAGATATTTACATTCACTATCTGTTGTTCCCTGAACTGAGCATTTCTTTTGAGAATGTTAGTCATCTGTGACCAAAAACCATGCCAAGAATCGTGCTTGTACTTAGAGAGACATGATCATGGGCATGTACTCAAACATCCACCCATCCATCCAGTCCACAAGATCAAGTAATCTTCCTCTTTATTCGATCTGTCTAGTTAATTAACCTTCCTTTGCCTCAGAGAAAATCAGACTGAGCCATGCAAACAGGCGGGAAATAACCGGGCAAGAAGGAGAAGCTGAGGTGGACTTTGCTGAAACAAGTCCCAGCATTTAACTGGTCTGTAACATGAGGAGAGGGCATGTGGCATCACCAGCAGCCTGACTGTTGGGTGCCTCCATCTTTGGGTGACTGTTCATCTCTTCCTGCAATACAGCCTTTCTTAATTTAACTATGTCTAAGAGCACTGCTAGATGGTAGCCTTTCTTAATTTAACTATGTCTAAGAGCACTGCTAGGAGATGGTACAGTAACTTTCAAATGAAAATAGTAGTGTGAGAAACAGATTGTTACAGGACTTTATATTAGTGTAAGGCCTCAGGAGACATATCAAAAATAGAATTTCAGGATGAAAAATTAAGAAAGACATGTGTGCAGCATAGAGTTATTTTAACTAACTCAGTTTCTTCAGGCAACTATATTCATGATGACATTATCTAATGAAGCAAAGCAGCAAAAAAAAGCAGAAGATATCAGATCTATTAAAAATGAATAGGGAGATTATTGTCTAATGATAGGTAATTCATGCTTTGAAAGGCTTTTGTTTATAAAGAAAAAGAACAGGGGGAAAAAATCAAAAAGGATAATTATTTGTTCAGTTACTTTGAAGTACTAAGTTGCCACAATGTCGATTACATACAACATGTTTGTGCACCAATAATGTGCCATTAGGGGAAGTATTGCAAACTATTTGTTTTTCCTAGACTGTTAATCTATTAACAAGTGGATATAAGCCATGAATTCAAACGATTGCCCGTGTGAAAGTGTTTCTAGCGATCCTACCTGTTGGCGGGATGATTCCAGGAGACATTAGGCCTGGGACAGAATGTGGCATGATATGAGAATTCTCTGGGGAGGTGACACTTTGAGTCCTCTTAGGAGGCCTTCCAGGTCTAGAACTGAAACAAACAAACAAACAAAAAAATTTTTACAATTAAGCTGTTGTCTTACACATCATTTCAAAGTTGTTTCAAGTGGTAACATGGACTGTAAATAAATTTGTTTCAAGGACGGTTGCTTTTGCAGTTAGATGTAATAGACTTCCATCACTAATTAGATTACATGCTGAATTCATTTTCCTCATTGAAGATCAGCCGCTCTTGATGCATAATTCATAGCCTGCACCTCGTTACCTGCTTCTTCATATTAATATCTATACACAGTTTGAATTGCCTCGTTTGCATATGCTAAAGTTCTGCATGCAGCCTTCAGCACGAAAATTATGCACTAACTTGTAATAATTATTACAGTCAGCCTGCTATTGATTTATGAGACTTTTAAAAACCAAATATGTGTAGTACTTGTAATGAATGATATTTTAAGGTTCTTCAGGAAATTAAAAGGCAATGGCTGCCTAAGGAAATGTTCTGCTTGTTTGATTTAATACTACAGTTAGCTGGGAGGTGGAATGAAAGAGTGATTCAGACCTATAGCACATTTTTCGATGATATGTTTTATTACTTCGCACTGCTAGCCTGATATCTAGATGATAAATGACAATACATATCTAATGTGTGAAAAGGTCTTGCAATTTCTTTATTTTTTGTCATTTAAAAGATAAGTCAAGTTATCATTTAACCCTTATTCTATTTAAAGTGAAAATCTCCCTAAGACACCTTACTTTAAATATACTACTTTATGTCAGAATTATGTGTACGATATTGTTGAACAAAAACCATCACAGCCGCTTACATGTGTCCAGTATGGAAAAATAAAGAGCTTCAGGTTTAAGCACTCCTTGTCTGTTAAATGCTCACATACACAACTTTCCATCTCCTGGACTGCCTAAGTAGCATACAAATTAGAGACAGATTACAATGAAAATACTTATTGCCCACTTACATACAAATATGTACCTGCTCATACAATATATATCCAAAGGCTTGTATTCTTATGTACAGATCATAGCAAGGTACCACTGCAACATCCTGTAACTGCTCATTTCCAGGACATTGTGGAATAACTTCACAGAATAACGTGATGTGCTGCTCTAAAACTGCAGTGTTAACCTATGCTCTGCCAAACATTTGAAGTTCTTCATTTGTTTCAGAACAAGAAAGAAAAGAAAGGTGGGTATGAAAGGTTTTGCTCCTTAGCATATTAACAAAATTCTAATCAGAGATAATGGCATTTCTAGCTATGCTGGGACTACAGAATGATGCAGATAACAAAATACCTCTGTTTTCTGTTCAAATTAGTTTCCATTGTGTTTGGAAATACTTTCTTTTTTTTTTCTTTTTTTTGGCACCTTCCACAACCTAACTTTAATAAACCAAAAACAATCAAAGTACAGAGCGTTTTCTTGAAGTTTAATGACTCAAGGCATTGAGTCATTAACCTTAACTGATCATTAATTCCCAACTTAATGTCCTGAGCTGAGGTCATTATTAAAATTATAAGCTTGGTAATTTCTTTGATTGGTTTGGGATTTTTGATTTTCTTTAATATAAACAAAATTGTCATATGTTCAAAACAATAAGAAAAACAGTTGTAGAAAAAGAACATTGTCTTATTCCAGCTCACAAAACCAAATGAAGTGTCTGCGGATTTTCTTTGCTATTTCCTTTGTGATTCACAATAAAAATAAACATACCATGAATACACATAAAACTGAACAAAACATTATAGACAAAAATGATCTGATTTAAATGGAGTGTTTCTAATATATTCACCCACCAAAAAATGCCACTGTGTAGGAAAACTTTAATGGTTTCATTTAAGTATGTATGATGAAGTACTCAAATCACTATTGTGATATGACTATTGAAGGGCCTGACAACTGCATAACAGAACACAAGCTGGGTAACGTGGCAAAATGCATGATGTACCAATGACTTCCAGGTCTTTATAAAAAGCAAGTTCACACCTGCAAAGACTCTCTGATGTTAACTACCAAGTATAGCCATGGTGAAGTTGAATGCTTTTTTTTGTCTTTGATTTTGAGGAATAAAACCACCCCTCTTCATAGCCTAAGGGAATAGAGTCATGGACAAAAATCTCTAAACAAAGGTCAGCAGCAAATTATAGGTGAGTGATACTGAAATACCCAAGGTAGAATTCTTCCTCTGGTCACCTTCAACAATCAAATTGCTTGTGGTACTGTACACAAAAGGGGGGATCACACTCAAAGCCCTAAAGGAGTCCAGCAACCCAACTCCATGATTTATCTCGAAGTTTACCATGTAAATCTTTTCATAAAGTCTTAAACTCCCAATTCCAATCTTACTAATAATATTTCACCCAGTAGATGGCTGGGCACTGGAAGAGGCTCCCCAGGGAAGTGGTGACAGCCCGACAGTTCAAGGAGTGTTTGGACAATGCTCTCAGGCACATGGTGTGACTCTGGGGGATGGTCCTGTGCAGGGCCAGGAGCTCCATGTGATCCTCACTGAGCCCTTCCAACTCGGCTTATTCTGTGATTCTATTTAAATGACATTTCTGAGAAAGATACCTATTTAATCCTGATAGAATTTTTAAGCTACACTAGTTCCAATCTACTATTAAAAGGCCTTTACCTATTTAAGAAACATGGGGTTTTTTTCCTATAACAATGCAGGAAAACACTGCAAGATAAATTAAGAATTATTTAAGGCCTAGAAGATCTGATTTAGAGACATAGAAGACTATGCAATACACAATTAAAATGAATACATCTAATTGTCCATTGTCCTTAATAACTGACTGAGTAGCAATACTTGACTTAATTTGTTAGTTGTCATTTGTTAAGCATTTGTTTCATTAGCCATACTACTAACTTGAAATACTACCATTTTGTAAGATTTGTTTTCAAACAACAAGAATTGCAAGAAATTTGTATGAATCATTACCAAAGTTGTGGGGAAAATGGTGTGAAAAAAATACTTTAAAAAATAACCACTGACTAGAATTGAAAACTCACATGTTGTTTTGTAGTTCATTATCATTTTTATAGCTATATGATAAGCTCTTTTAAAAAAACATCAAAAGCATAGCAAATTAGTTTAACTATCATAAACAGGATGATAAAAATAGCTTAATAAATCATTTTGTTGGTATTTTTCATAAACTTGAGTAAGTAAAGACCTACTTATTTTTATATTAGGGCACGTTCATCTTCATTCCAAGATAAGAAATCTTCAAAATACTCATATTTTTATTTTGATTTTGTATCATAATCAATAGATTGTCCTCAGTATAAAAAAACCCCATATTTTAAATAGGTATGATTTTATTTATTATGTAAAAGATACATTTAAATGCCAGAGCAATGTAATCTTTTCTTCTAGTTGATGACATTGAGATACAAAAATCATCATTTAAAATCTGATGATAATGCTATCTTTACTCAAATTTAGATTTTGTATATAGGCTTTTATAGACATATAAAAAGCAAGGTAAGATTTTGTCTTTTATCTGAATACAATCATTGGACTGTGCTGTTTTTTCTGAAAGCACATTTGACTTCTTATGGAAATGCTAATTATCTCAACAGATAAACTACTAAAAGGTGACTCATTTTGATTTTGAAGATGTCTAAAGTCTGGATTTTTTAGAGTTAAGATAAACAGTCTGAAATGACAAAACCCCAAAAGCCAAAGTGAATACCTTGTGAATACCTAGGATTATAGTACAGGTAAGTCAAGGAGTGTTTTGGGACTGCACAAGAAGACACTGGAAGAAACAGCACCACATCTGGAAGCCACAGCTGATCTTCCTGTCTACTGTTTCGTTCTTTGAAGAGTAAATTAGAGAAAGCAGAAATTAGACAATATAAACAGATTCAAGGAAGCCACAAGATTAGCTGTTTTAAAGAACTGGGGAGAAGTCTATAGGGAAGTTAAGAGTTCCTTGCTTACCCATTAGAAAAGATCTCCAACAGATTGTCACTCTGCTTTTAGAAATATGAATAAGTTAGATATTTTCTGCTCTAAAACTTAAATTTTCATATGTGAGATAACATATGTTGAAGAAGAAAATGAAAGCTTTCTACAGGACTGTGTATTACTTAGTAGTCAAGTTTTTGAAGTGAAGCACCTAAAAGTATTTCTTCCCATGAAAATCCATCAGCCTTCTATAAGCTTGTGTCAGTTTGTGATAAAATTATCAGACTTTTCTCAAGTCTTAAAAGACATTCCCACAGACAGCTGATCTTTATTTTTGTTGAAATTATCATGGTTTACAGTTACAATATGCCATTATGTGAATGAGGAACTCAACGTGCGGATTAGTGGATCTTGAAAGTCTCAAATATTTTCTTCGCTAGCATCAGCTAATTAGATAACAGAACACTTTCCAGAATGACTGAAAATAAATCCATCAAATTTCGGCCAGATTTGTATTTCATCCCTTCAATTTCATAAATACATCAAGGAATACTATGGCTGTAGCATTTTCATCTTTGAAGAAAAAGTGTGTATTTGTATACTGCGCTGTGATTAGTATGAGAAGCAATTGAGACTACATTTAAGGCTGAGAATATGATTATTTTTTGGTCTTTTGATCAACATATATTAGTCTTATATCCTTCCTGTCTTACCAAATCTAGAAAATAACAGATGGCTGAATTAGACAAAAAGAAATCGAAGAATCTGTGTTCCTTATCAGTTAAAATGTGCTTTGATAATATTTTTAAAGTTTTACATCATTTCAGTTGTATTATTAAGTATGAGCTTGCTCCTAGAAACGTTTTGACATTGCTAAATAATTAAAAGCAGACATAATCAACAGAAAACCTGGCCCTGTCCAAACACATGGAAAGAGACAACAGTATGGGCTTATCTGCTTGACTTTAAATGTAACCAGGCTGCATCCAGCTCTTATTGCTATCTGCCAGAAGTCAGACTTGATGTTAACATTTAAGGGTCTCATCCTTGAAAGCCTTAGATATGTAGACCTCCTACTGCTTTCCGTTAAGACCTTT